AACAGTGAAGAAAAGCAAAAATTAAACAGAGCCATCAGAACTATGGGTCTAACATGTGTAAGGTATAAAGGCTGAGAATTTCCCCTCAGATCATGAAATATAGTAAGCCACAGGTCTAAGAAGCTCAGAGGATCCCCCCTCCCCAACAAAAAAACAGATTAAATAACAAAGTAAAGAAGAAGAAGGAGGAGGAGAAAAAAGAGAGGAAAACAAAAGCCACACCACCCATACTCATCTAGAACCATCATAGTCAAGTGGATTAAAAATAAAGAGAAAATTTTGAAGACAGTCAAAGAAAAAGGAAACATTACATACAGAGGAACAAAGATAAGAATGACTGTAGGCTTCTTATCTGAAACTATACAAGCCAGAAGACGATAGCTTTAAAATACTGAGGTGGGGAGGAACTATTAACCCAGAATTTATGCCCAGTGAAAACTTATTTCAAAAATGAAAGAGGAAAATTTTTTTAAACATATAAAAACAAAATTTGTTACCAGCAGACCTACACTACTGAAAATGTTTAGGGAAGTTCTACAGATAGAAAGAAGGAAAATGATACTAGATCAAACCTTGGAGTATAAAACAGGCAGAACCCCAGAAATGGTTAAAATGAAGGTTTTCCTAGCTTTAGGTGAATGAAATTATCTTTAATATAAAAAAGTCAATCTAGTATACTCTGTTGGTGCTCCACACTGACCCCATTAACTGGGCGAGTGCACCTTCACCCACTTGCTGGAGGCGGAAGGGCTGCTATCGGCTCACAGCTGCACTGTACTCCCGAGAATTGCCCTTGACCAGTGGCAGCCACTTGGACACGAATATGTGGGAGGTTATGCCTTGCCCTGCAGGGGGCTGCAGCCAACCACTAACAAATATGGGATACCGAAAAGACCTGCCTCCTTACCTCAATGTAGGATAACTCTGTGGTACTATTCGTGTTTCAGAGTTCCCTGTTCACTAGCTTAGGTTAGCTTTAGCTGAAAACACATCTTTACCTAACCTTTTCCCCTGCCCTATCCTATTTCCTTCCCTTTCTGACAGGTTTCACCAGAAAACTCTCCCTTAAGAGTCCCCTTCTCCATCTCTACTTCTGAGGAGCCTGACCCAAATCACTCAATGTTTCCCCACAAAGCATGATGTTTGCCTTAAGTTTTTGTACACACTGTTTGTCATATTAAGGGCTTCCCTTCTATTTCTAGTTTCCTAAAGAGTTTATATCAAGAATGGATGCTGTTTTTTTGTCAAGTTTTCCCACATTTATTCATATGATCATATGGGGTTTCCTCCTTCATTTGGTTAATGTGGTAATTTATGTACAATAAATTCGAATTCTTGGAATAAATGCAACTTGGTCATAATGTTTTAAGAAAGAATTTGCTAATCTATTAATTTAATAATTTTTAAACTGACTGTAAAGTACAAGGATTTTCTTCTCTTTTTTTCTTTTTTTAACAAGTGTTCGCCTATAAAGATGAAAGGGAAGAAAACTCACTGGGACTAAGCAGGGAAGAGCAGGAGAAATCCCAAATACATTTACACCTTCTGAAGTTGTTAACCACAGAACAACGCTGGCGTATTTCATGTTCAGTGAGCGTATACCACTCCAGGTCTGCAAAAGGAACAGGCCTGCCTGCAGGCAAGGGGGCACTGAGAGGGGCTGCAAGTACCCATTAATCACCTGACTTCTAAAAGCAGGTTATGCTGGAAGAGCCAATACAACTCTGCCACAGGCCCTGGGCAGAGCCTTTCTGAGCATCGAAACACATGGACCAAAAATCTCATAGGATTATAAGAGCAGAGAGTATAAAAGAAATCCAAAAGCTGGCATACAGCCTTCCACAGAATAGATTTTCAATAAATATTGGCAGATCAACAGATTTCTGTCACATATACGTCATCGAATCCCTTTCTCATCTTTATTTGGTCATTTTAGAAGTTGGAGGAAATTGAACTCAGTTGCTAGAGTCATTTCATCACTAAATCTTTATTAATGAGAAAAGAAATAGCCCTCAACATTCTAACTAGAATATGCATGAGTCTTCATGTATGGAATGATGTCACCAAACACCCTCACCCCTCAAATACACAAGCTCTGGAATGATGATGAGTTTACCATGATCCAACCAACCCATTCAATCTCTCTTTCCATTCTTGAGATTGCTTATCAGGGCGTGTGACAGTCTTTAGCTGCAAGGTTAAAAGATTTCCAAGTCTGTTATCCACTATAAGTATGTGTTTGCAGTCTCTTCTAAATTCTACATTCCTCCAAGCCTGTGAATGTATCTTGTCTTTCGTTCTGTCTTTCCTGGCAAAGTCCTAAGGACATAGGAGATTTTGTCAATTATTACTGAATCAGAGATGACTGGCCCATGGAGTTCAACACTGGACCTTGGCTTCACTGACACCATTCTTTAACCAGATGTGCTACTGAAGAACATACCCATGATGACATTGAAGACAGAAATCCTTATAAACCCTGAAATCAGCTTTCTCTAAATTTCTCTCTATGATCCTTCCATTTATTCATGAGATCCAGTGTTTAGTGGACACCTTTAACCTGAAGAGCTAGGCTGTTAAGAGTACTTTTCAAAGAGTCAGTCAGTTGTAAAATAAACACTCCTTGATCATCTGATTGGTGCTGACTTATGACTTGGTTTTTCAGGGAACTCTCCTATGTCTCAGTTTAATCATTTCACCAAAGATCTTGTGCTGTTTGTCAGCAGAAACCACTGCTGTTAGAAGAAACTGGCCTCTCCCTTAACTCTCCCAGACTCAGTCTGTTCTTTCCCACCCTTTATTTCCTGAACAACCTTATTGGTGATGCAATTAGTATTGATTTGCCACCAAACCTTCTGTTTCTTCCCATGACCCTGGAATTGAAACTGTGCACCTCAGATTGGGAGTTGAACCCACGCAGCCGGGACTTAAGCCTGGCCAAAACCCACCATCTTCCAACTGAGATCACACACCTGGTTTCAGGACTTGAAGCTCAGGGTCTTGATGTCTCATCGCAGAAAGAATTCAGTGAGAGACAAAATGATGTATTGCAATGAGCGTATACTGAGGCTCCAGGTCTAGTGAAAGTTGACTTGTCTGCCATCTTGCACCCATTTTGTTCTAATCAGTTTATGTCAAGTCCTTGGGCTATACCATTCTTTCAAAGGTTGTGCCCTGTCCCCTTCCCTTCTGTTTCAGAATCACTCCAATTTGAGAGGCAACAATCCATGGAAAATGGCCCCTATCCCTTGCATTCTTGGTTTCTAACCTTTTACCAGAGTTCTGACCCTAAGCATTTTGGCTTAAATAATATTATATCAAGTTGCACCCATTAATTTTATTTCAGAGATCTCACAGATCATCAGGTTTCTGGAGGTAAAGGAAACCTCAATGATTGACTAGTCAACTCCATTTTACCAAAATTGAGCTCCAGAATAAATGCCTTAGCCTTAATCTAGAGGCAGAACAGAGACAAAACATGAAGTCTAGCCCTCTTCTAGTAAACACACTGTATTACCCTATGTGCACGACCAAATCTAAGAAAATGAGCTTGCAGGTTCATGCTCAGAAAGACGAAAATGTTCCCAACTCTCTCGAAACAATGTGGTAATTTAAGCAAGCAAGATCTCACTCCAGGTCGCACCCCCCACCCCCATCACAAAATGAGGTGGCAGGGCTGCCCTGAACATTGATGCCTCCTGGAGAATTTCCTGCTATATCCCAAGGGCAAAGAGGGTCAATTACAGATCTTTTTCACATTCTTGCTTCACTGACATTCATTAGGGCTCACTGGAATAGGTCTCAAACACCTTATCTCTAACAACATGTTAGAAATCTCTCTGTGCTATTTGTCCTGCTCACCTCAGCCTCATACCTTCTCCTCTGAGGGTGGCTCCACAAAGAGGGGAGGACAAAGGCGGGTCACCTCTTGAGTCTGGGAAGGGAGCCTGCTAAAAACTGCCCTCCTTCCAATGAGAAATTGTTTTTTCAGACCTCTGTGTGACTAGAACTTGAAAACTTGAACTTTGAGTTGTGATTTGATACCTGAAATTCCTTTCATTCCACAATTAAAGATAAGGCTTTCGGGGTAAACATAGCAGGACTCAGCAATCTCTGGACTAACTAATACACATAAAGGGATAAATGACTGATATGGGTCATTTCCTAGAACAGGTTTTGGAAAAAGAGGAGGGAAAGGAGAGGTCAAGGGCACTGAAGGGAGAAAAAGGAAGACTGGAGGCAATGAAGAAAAACTCTGACCCCTTCTCGGCCTGCGTGGAACAATGTTATGTTTAATTGCTTCCTGAACCATTCCTCATTTTTTTTTCTTTAATCAACTTTAACCACAAAGGTAACTGCTATTGGTTTTCTAACGCACAAGGATGTCTTAGCGTGGCATCTACCTAGATGAATATGAATGGGAAATAGTTACTTATAAGCATGTGTACTAGAAAGAGATTTCAAAACGTGACACGCCTGCATACTGATTATTGTACTACTTAATCAGGGTATTTTATATTAGTATGTTCCTTTCTACTGGAGAGCTTAAAGCGGAAAAGGAACCATAGATTTATAAAAAAGAGAAAAAAAATCAGCTTCCTGTGCACCCACTAGAGTATTGTATGTATTAGAAATCACAGAAAAATGAAAGATAAAATCAATACTCATGTTAAAGGAATTCCCATGTTGGTATGATTGTTTCCATAAATGGAAATGTGGAAGCAGTGATGATGTTGAGAACGTGGTAGGACGCAGTCACTTTTTATTTTCTGAGGGAAAAAAAGGCAGAGAGAGAGAGAGGGGAAAAAATGGAGTGGTTGTGCTTCTGTTTACCCACTGCCTGGGTTAATATGTAATTGACAAGATTAATGGCTGCATAATAATTGTCTCTATTGTTTACCGTCTGGATGGTGGCCAGCCATCTTACCACTCTGCCCACCAGTGGGTTTGGGTTTGTAAGGAATGCAGTGAGTAGATAGGGTCTGTGTGCCAGGTGTTACCTTGCTAAAGAAGACATTCAGGGAGAACTGTACAGGGAGACCTGGTGATGTTCTCTCTGGTGGGGTGTCCCTCTCTGCACCGGGTAAATAGTCCCACTTCAAAACTGCTGTATCCATTGTGGTGGAACAGAGACAGGTGGGCCCAGCCAAACCGCTCTACCTGAGGAAGACAAAGAAAAACATTCAGGATCCAGAGAAAGGTCTCCGTTCTGTCCTGTCCAAGGTGTAAAACAAACAGCAGTACTCCTCGTGGCTGTTCCTTGCACTGCCCTGGGATGTGCTGGGAAGCACTTGCCTTTCATCTGCAGATTTACATGGATGTGAAAATACATTCCTCTCCCCTCTTTCCTGATCCGCTTTCAAAGCTCCTGTTTCTAGCCCTTCTCACTGTGAGATGAGCAAAGAGACCAAGACTTTCAGTCACGAACCGCAGAAAGGATTTCCATGGAAAGGTACCATGAGTCTACCTGCTCTGCTGCTGATCTTGTCTTGTCTTGCCTCTCACATAGACCAGGATGATTTGATATACAAAAACAAAGGCTATGTCATTCCTCCTCATGTGGCCTCGTTCTGGTCTGGGTCACACACGTTCTCCTTGATTGCCTCAAACTACATGGGTTTCCTCATTTTCTAACAAATCAAGTTCAAATTCCTGACATTCGAGGAGCCTCTCCTGGGGACTGGTACTAATACTTGTCCTACTGTTGGCTTCACCCCAAATTACACTGTCTTATTGTGTAGTTCCATGCTTTCCTCCTTCCACCTAGATGTCTCCCTCGACCCCGTCTCTCTCAGTATATTAAAATCTTATTCCTTTGGCGCAAACCCTGTTGTATAGCTCCCTATTCTACATTCTTATACACCTTGTACTTTTCCTTCATAACATTTATCCCTACTGTCATTACATACTTACAGTGTAGTCACTGTGGCCTGACTTTCCTCCTTACTAGATAATGAGCCCCCTGAAGATAGGGACTGCATGTATTATGTTCTTTGACATATATCTAGCAGTGGACCAGTAGTAGATTAGTGCTTAGATTAATGGTCAAGTTAAGGATGATATTAATGAATGTAAAGACCAGCTCAGATTTTCACTTCCTTCATTAGCTCGACCTTCAGCTTCTCCAGCTGAATATATTGCTAGTCATCTTTTGAAGTGACTTGTGAACTTTGTACTTCCTGCTGGCACCAATCATTTTCCATGTTTTATCATCATTATCTAAACCTTAGCCTTATCTGTTTTGTTACTCTAAGGTTCCTTGGGAGCAGGGACTCTCATTCATTCTTTAACTTGTTCACAAGTCCAAACAAATTTTATCTAGCTGGGACTCAAAAACTGTTTGCTGAGTGATGGATTAATTTATTTATCTATCTTTCTGTTTATATAATGCCCATAGTTCCACATTCTGCACACATTACTTTTCCTACATTAGAGGAAAAAATAAATAAGTAACCAGTCAACAAATCTTTTCACCATTTAAGTTTCAGCCATACAGCATATACTCCTTCCAGGGGCATTCCATTCCATTCGGTGAAGACTTGAGTTTAAAGATGTGACAGCAGAGCATGAAAGAGCTCTAAGTTTTTGCTAGAAACAACAGAAGAGGTAAAAGGTTGGAGCAGTGGGAAAAATGAAGAGAGCAAGGATGAAAGTGAAGACAGTACTGGCAACCGATGGTTTAGGTGGAAAAAACTTAGAGCTCTAAGAAACTCATAGGAGTGATAGGCTTTGAACTTAAGCCTTTATTCTGTATAAACTGGAGCCAAGTCTTCAACCTATATGTTCTGTGTGACCCGGGAAAGGTCACTTTTCTCCCTGGATCTGTTTCCGCATGGGTGAAATGGCATGAATGATGTATATCTTTCAGATTGTTTGTGAGATTCACATCATCATATGAGAAATTCTTCTGCAAGTTCAAAAGTGTTTTGCAAGTGGTATTACCTAAATGGTGGCTGAGGACCAAGAACTGGAGTGAGACAGCTTGCAGAGGGTTTGAGAGACCATAGACAGAAGCTTACGTTTCATCTGGAGATTAAGGGGAAGCATCAGCCTAAAGCCAATTTGGGGTGATGGTGGGGGGAGTGCTTCCTAATTCCTGTTTATCCAATCTAATTAGCATAATGTCATCAATGTGGTGGCTCAGTGTAATTATTTATTTATTTTTTATACAGCAGGTTCTTATTAGTCATCCATTTTATACACATCAGTGTATACATGTCAGTCCCAATCTCCCAGTTCATCACACCATCATTCCCACCCCCCCACCGCTTTCTCCTGTTGGTGTCCATATGTTTTTTCTCTACATCTGTGTCTCAATTTCTGCCCTGCAAACCAGTTCATCTGTACCATTTTTCTAGGTTCCACATATATGCGTTAATAAACGATATTTATTTTACTCTTTCTGACTTACTTCACTCTATATGACAGTCTCTAGATCCATCCACGTCTCTACAAATGACCCAATTTCGTTCCTTTTTATGGCTGAGTAATATTCCATTGTATATATGTACCACATCTTCTTTATCCATTCGTCTGTCAATGGGCATTTAGGTTGCTTGCATGACCTGGCTATTGTAAATAGTTCTGCAATGAACATTGGGGTGCATGTGTCTTTTTGAATTATGGTTTTCCCTGGATATATGCCCAGTAGTGGGATTGCTGGGTCATATGGTAGTTCTATTTTTAGTTTTTTAAGAACCTCCATACTGTTCTCCACAGTGGCTGTATCAATTTACATTCCCACCAACAGTGCAAGAGGGTTGCCTTTTCTCCACACCCTCTCCAGCATTTGTTGTTTGTAAATTTTCTGATGATGCCCATTCTAACTGGTGTGAGGTGATACCTCATTGTAGTTTTGACTTGCATGTCTCATAATTAGTGATGTTGAGCAGCTTTTCATGTGCTTCTTGGCCATCTGTATGTCTTCTTTGGAGAAAAGTCTATTTAGGTCTTCTGCCCATTTTTGGATTGTGTTGTTTGTTTTTTAAATATTGAGCTGCATGAACTGTTTATATATTTTGGAGATTAATCCTTTGTCTGTTGATTCATTTGCAAATATTTTCTCCCATTCTCAGGGTTGTCTTTTCATCTTGTTTATGGTTTCCTTTGCTGTGCAAAAGCTTTTATGTTTCATTAGGTCCCATTTGTTTATTTTTGTTTTTATTTCCATTAGTCTAGGAGGTGAATCAAAAAAGATGTTGCTGTGATTTATGTCAAAGAGTGTCCTTCCTATGTTTTCCTCTAAGAGTTTTATAGTGTCTGGTCTTACATTTAGGTCTCTAATCCATTTTGAGTTTATTTTTGTGTATGGTGTTAGGGAGTGTTCTAATTTTATTCTTTTACATGTAGCTGTCCAGTTTTCCCAGCACCACTTATTGAAGAGACTGCCTTTTCTCCATTGTATATCCTTGCCTCCTTTGCCATAGACTCGTTGACCATAGGTGCGTGGGTTTATCTCTGGGCTTTCTATCTTGTTCCATTGATCTATTTTTCTGTTTTTGTGTCAGTACCATACTGTCTTGATTACTGTAGCTTTGTAGTATAGTCTGAAGTCAGGGAATCTGATTCCTCCAGCTCTGTTTTTTTCCCTCAAGACTGCTTTGGCTATTCGGGGTCTTTTGTGTCTCCATACAAATTTTAAGATTTTTTGTTCTAGTTCTGTAAAAAATGCCATTGGTAATTTGATAGGGATTGCACTGCATCTGTAGATTGCTTTGGGTAATATAGTTATTTTCACCATATTGATTCTTCCAATCCAAGAACATGGTATATCTCTCCATCTGTTGGTATCATCTTTAATTTCTTTCATCAGTGTCTTATAGTTTTCTGCATAAAGGTTTATTCCTAGGTATTTTATTCTTTTTGTTGCAATGGTAAATGGGAGTATTTCCTTAATTTCTCTTTCAGATTATTTATCATTAGTGTATAAGAATGCAAGAGATCTGTGCATTAATTTTGTATCCTGCAACTTTACCAGATTCATTGATTAGCTTTAGTAGTTTTCTGGTGGCATCTTTAGGATTCTCTATGTATAGTATCATGTCATCTGCAAACAGTGACAGTTTTACTTCTTCTTTTCCAATTTGGGTTCCTTTTATTTCTTTTTCTTCTCTGATTGCCGTGGCTAGCACTTCCAAAACTATGTTGAATAATAGTGGTGAGAGTGGACATCCTTATCTTGTTCCTGATCTTAGAGGAAATACCATGCTTTCAGTTTTTCACCGTTGAGAATGATACTTGCTGTGATTTTGTCATATATGGCCTTTGTTATCTTGAGGTAGGTTTTGTAGAATGTTAAGATAAAAAGGTCAGTTCATAGAGATGGAAAGGAAAGTGTTGGTTGCCAGGGGTTGGGAGGAGGGAGGAAGGGGGAGTTATTGTTTAATGGGTACACAGTTTTGGTTTTGCAAGATGAAGAAGTTATGGAAATGGATGGTGGTGATGGTTGTATACCACAATTTAATAAGTAAATAAATACTAAATTAATAAATAAGAAAAAAGTGAATTAAGAAGAGTCTGTACTCTCTCCTGAAAGGACATAAGAAGGAGAGGAACAGTAAAGTAATCTCTGAAGAACTGATAAAAAGAAAAGGAACTACAGATTCAAAGCTAGAGAAAAGGCCTAAGCCAGGCTGTCTGGTCAGATAACAATCCCATTTCTTCTTCCTGGACATGCAACCCACTACATTTTCTAGATTCCCTTGCAAAGGGTGTGGCCTTGTGACCGAATTCTAGCAACTAATGGAAAACAGAATGATGTTGGTCATTCCTAGACCAGGCACATAAAAACCTTCCGCCTGTGTTCCGCCGTGTTATTTTCCAATCCAGAGGGTGCGTGCTCATGCCCAGAGTGACTTTGGAAGTCACACGTTGAAGATGGTGAAGACAGAAGACAAAGTTGCTCAGGTTCCTGCATCACTACTGGGAAGATGGAACTCTATCAATCAGGACATCTGTTTTAGACTTTACAGCAGCAAGGGAAAACATGTCTATTGTGTTCAAGCCAGTATCCAGTTGGGGGTGAGTTTATTACAGCAGTTATCGTTACCTTAATTAACACAGCATGGATGAGTTGGGGAGGTAACTGAGGAGCCCTCTGTCTGCCTTTTTGAATAATGAAAGTTAGAATTATAAGGAGAGAAAGTGGAAACAGCTGGGAGAAGGAAGAGGCTGGCAGATGGTATCTATGGACAGTCTTTGAAGCCAGGGTCTCAGAATAAATAATATCAAAATATGGCTTTTAACAAGGCATGTACTATTGCACATCATGACCCAGTCAGTCCATATCTACCCCTATTTAGTGGCTCCCATCTACTCTATGACCTTGGCCATGGCACTTGACATGTCCTTGACTTTCTATTTATAGCCACAAAAGAAAAATACCAATCAAATTTCTATAAAAGTTTCTCTAAAACTCCAGGTTCCCTCTCTTGCTTTCTCTCTCTCTTCCCCAACCCCCAAATAATTTTTAATTGTTTAATGTGGGAAAATGCTTTATGAAAATTGCATTCCTTTCTGAGCCACTGCCTGGGTCATTTAAAAATAAACAATAGACAAAGGGACATTAACCTGGGGGGAACTTTATAATAATAACCTCCAGGGCTGATCCAGGATTGGCTAAGAAGATAAAAGGAGTTGGAAGATTTGTGGCCATCCAAGCTACATAAAAATATATTCAGCTTTTCTCTTCTCCCCAACAGGTATGCTCCAAATGAAGACAATGTCTAATTAATTCTGTGGTCCTGTCATTTCCTATTATTGCTAACGTGTTCTCAGATGTTCAGATAAGTCATAGGCCAATGAACAAATATAGTTACTAAAGGCTAAAGTTTGTAGAGACTCTGAAGCCATTCAAGCAAAGACAAGGAGTAAGCAGGATTTATTATAATTACTATTACTGTTTTTATTATTTTAAGTACATAGGTCTATCCAGGACTTAGCTTTTGAGTCTTGGTCATAAACCTTTGGGCACATTGCTAGCCCTTATTATAGCACCAATAAGAGATTAAACTAGAAAACAAATCTACAAATGAGAAGCTATCTTTTAAGTAGTAAGCACTCTTCTTCATATAAAATTCCATGCCTGTCTCTAATAGCCACACTTAATACTCACCTAGAGCCTTTCGTCTGAAAACCTCAAGGTACTTCTTGCAATACGGGTGCCAGTTCTCTCAAAATTCCTGTAAGTCAGGGAACTAAAATTCCCATTCATAGGGTATTTTGGCCATTGCTGAGGTCTGAGCTCTTCCGCCTCCATCCCATGTAGCTGTGGGTGACACTCCTTCCCAGATCATAGCTTCACCCCCAGTGCAGTGAAAGGGAGAAGGATCCTATCAGGACAGGAAATACTGGTTTCATCCCCATGAGAGGCAATAGGATGGAAAGGAAAACTCAGCCTTGGGAGTTAGACCTGACTACAAACTCCGGCTTTAAACAAATAATCTTAACCTCTCTGAGCTTCAGTTTGCTTATTTATAATCAAGAATGTAAGGTAATACTACAGTTCTTGGTACACAGTAGGCAATCAATAATACTTGCTTAGTGGTATAAAGCCATATCTTCCTTTATATCCCTAATTTCAATGGATCTTTGAAACTAACCAATATTTTATCTGATTAATAGTTGGTTGAGAGTCTGCATGAGAATACTGCCCACAGTAGCACTCAGTAAATGTAGTGGAGTTGTCTTGCTATGGAAGAAGTCTATATCCAATGCCCACAGTACCCAAGCCAACTTGGGTTTTCCATAAGAACAAATCCAATATTATCTCACATAAATGCTAATCCCTGGGTATGAAAGCTCTATTTAAGTGCAGTTGTAACTCTTCTTCTTCAGTATACTTGGGTTGATTTTCCAAATCCCATCATATCCTGTATTTATAAACAAAGGAGAATACTGTCATGAACTTTATCACTTCGTTAAATACCAAATACTAAATTATTAGTTACAGAGATTTATTGAAAAAAATTCTTATAAAATTGTCTTGCAGACACTTGAATGTATTACCATGCTTTATGGATTTGTTCAGATTATTTTTAGAAAGCAAATGCTTTAGTCCTTTCAACTATTTGAAAACAAAAGAGTGTACCTTGGATTATAAATCTTACATTTTCATTAGATTTTTCATAACTCTACCAAAAATTCAGCCAAGCATTTATCAGTCAGGAGTTAGAAAGTCAAAAGGAGTCCCTATTCCCTGGATTAAAAAAAAACTTTTTTTAATTTAATAAATTTACTTGGAAGGCCATGATAGTGACATTTCTTACTGAGAACCTCAACAAATTCAAAACATGTTGTCAACTGAAAAAACACACAACCTAAAAGTTGAGAATTATGTTTTATTCAGGGACATTACTGAGGACTATAGCCCAGGAGACAGCCTCTCAGATAGCTCTGAGGAACTGTCCCAAAGAGGTAAGGGGGGGGGCCAGGATATATAGGAGTTTTTGCTGAAACACAAACAATGCAGTCAAACATCAAAGATTACTGCTAATCACAAAAACAGACATCTCCAATTAACGATTTTAGTGGTTTTCTATATAGGGGAAGTTGTAAGAATCTGGGCTCACTGAAATTATTCCTTTGATATACATCTTAACTATACAGGACCAGTACTCTGTTTTTCTCCATCCTGAATTTCCCTCATGGCATACTGGGTGAGCGGGGGGGGGGGGGGGGGGGGGGGGAGGGATGGAGACTGTTGCTACATCAGTAGCTGATGTCTTCATGGTGGGCAGCATTCATTGTTTCCCAGGATGGCAGGCAACATTCTTTGTCCACAATGGTAATGACCAAATAGTAAGGACAGGGGTTGGGGGAGATTGTGAGTAGACAAAACAGAAATGTTAAACATTTATATCTAATAGTCACGAATTTCTTTCCTAAGAGATCTTTCAGAATATCACTCAGAGATAAGATACCCTTACTTTGTCCACAATTCTCATAAGCTTTTTCATTTGATTTCTCCCACTGTCAGTAGATGAAAAGTGGCAAATCAGAAGTGTGCAGACATTAGAAAGAAGAAGAGTTCTTGCAGCCGTCAGCCAACAAGCCAGCAAACCTACAAGTTCATTTTGAATGTTAACTACTTTTCTGGCACTTCAGCAGTTGTTAAGGGACAGAAAAGTAAAAGCTATTTTATTTGTCCTCTATAGCTTATATTGGATTGGCCAAAAAGTTCGTCTGTTTCTTTCTGTAAGATGGCTCTAGTAGCACTTAGTTGTCCTTAACTTCATTCAAAACAATTTTGTTAGATTGTATTGTGACAGCTGTCATAATCAGCGTGCATGTAAAAAAAAAAAATTATCAGAATTGGTGAATTTTTGTGCAGCCATTTTAATATTGAAGATGGAAGATTAAAAGCAACATGTTCAGCGTATTATGCTTTATTATTTCAAGAAATGTAAAAACGCACTGAAATGCAAATGAAGATTTATGCAGTATATGGAGAAGGTGCCGTGACTGATCAAACGTGTCAAAAGTGGTTTGCGAAGAAGTTTTGTGCTGGAGATTTCTCGCTGGACGATGCTCCACGGTCAGGTAGACCAGTTGAGGTTGATAGCGATCAAATCGAGACATTAATTGAGAACAATCAATGTTATTACGACACAGGAGATAGCCGACATACTCAAAATGTCCAAATCAAGGTTGAAAATCATTTGCACCAGTTTGGTTATGTTAATCGCTTTGATGTTTGGGTTCCACATAAGCGAAAAAAACTTCTTGACCGTATTTCCACATGCAATTCTCTACTTAAACATAATGAAAACGTTCCCTTTTTTTTTTTTGCGGTACGCGGGCCTCTCACTGTTGGGGCCCCTCCCGTTGCGGAGCACAGGCTCAGGACGCACAGGCCCAGTGGCCAAGGCTCACGGGCCCATCAGCTCCGCGGCATGTGGGATCCTCCCAGACCGGGGCACGAACCCACGTGCCCCGCATCGGCAGGCAGACTCTCAACCACTGCGCCACCAGGGAAGCCCAAAAACACTCCTTTTTTTTTTTTTTGATGTGGACCATTTTTAAAGTCCTTATTGAATTTTTACAATATTGCTTCTGTCTTCTGTTTTGGTTTTTTGGCCGCGAGGCATGTGGGATCTTAGCTCCCCGACCAGGGATCAAACCCGCTCGCCCTGCACTGGAAGGCAAATTCTTAACCACTGGACCACCAGGGAAGTCCCCGAGAACGTTCTGTTTTTAAAGCAAATTGTGACGGGCAATGAAAAGTGGATACTGTACAATAATGTGGAGCAGAAGAGATCGTGGGGCAAGAGAAATGAGCCACCACCAACTACAGCAAAGGCCAGTCTTCATCCAAAGAAGGTGACGCTGTGTATATGCTGGGATTGGAAGGACGTCCTCTATTATGAGCTCCTTCCAGAAAACCAAACGATTAATTCCAACAAGTACTGCTCCCAATTAGACCAACTGAAAGCAGCACTTGATGAAAAGTGTCCGGAATTATTCAACAAAAAACACATAATCTGGGCTTCCCTGGTGGCGCAGTGGTTGGGGGTCCGCCTGCCGATGCGGGGGGCACGGGTTCGTGCCCCGGTCCGGGAAGATCCCACATGCCGCGGAGTGGCTGGGCCCGTGGGCCATGGCCGCTGGGCCTGCGCGACCGGAGCCTGTGCTCCGCAACGGGAGAGGCCACAACAGTGAGAGGCCCGGGTACCGCAACAAAACAAAACAAAACAAAAACAAAAACAAAAAAACACATAATCTTCCATCAGGATAACGCAAGACCGCATGTTTCTTTGATGACCAGGCAAAAACTGCTACAGCTTGGCTGGGAAGTTTCGATTCATTCACCATATTCACCAGACATTGCACCTTCAGATTTCCATTTATTTTGGTCTTTACAAAATTCTCTTAATGGAAAAAATTTCAATTCCCTGGAAGACTGTAAAAGGCACCTGGAACAGTTCTTTGCTCAAACAGATAAAAAGTTTTGGGAAGATGGAATTATGAAGTTGCCTGAAAAATGGCAGAAGGTAGTGGAATAAATGGTGACTACGTTGTTCAATAAAGCTCTTGGTGAAAATGAAAATGTGTCTTTTATTGTTACTTTAAAACCGAAGGAACTTTTGGGCCAACCCAATATTTTTCTTGGGTGTAGAAAAGAGCTCCACACAAGAAACAAATAGAAAGAAATAAATTATGTAGCACTGACCATGATCTTTTTAAAAATTCAAAGAAGGGAGAAATCAGCAAGGAAGAAAGTATAAAAGTTTTCACGAGGCCAAATCTTTTAAAAAATATTAGAAAAATTAGAGCAGCCCTTTGTCTTAAAGACAAAAACCAAATGTCTGAAAAGTGATGCCATGAAACCACAGTGGGAGAAATTTAAAAGGCTCTTTTAAAAAAAGTTTTGTTCAGAAGAGAAGATGAACGGGGAGTTTTAGGAAACTTCAATATCTAAAACACAATTTTTTTTTTGTAGATGCCTGGAAAATTGAATAAGAAGAAATCAACTTACAGTATAGAAGGAAAGATTTAGATAAGGCATTGGAATGTATCCTTGAATACAATTACGATTTTTAAAAGTCTTCCTTTTATATGCTGCTCTTTAAATGGTTTCGGTAAAACAGTGAGGAGGCACAGTAATGGGTTCAATGACCCCTTCCCCTTCCGTAGTCCTGGGTTGCATGACCTGTGTAGGATCACCTCTCCTGCTCTGTCCTGCCCCACCCCGCTCTGCCGCACCAGCTGTGCCAATCCACAGGAGCGCTCACACTTTCCCAGCAGAAGTGCTCTCCTTCAAGGAGGTTCACAGAGATTATCATCTGTAATCAGGATTCTGAACAAAAACTTCATGAGCTGCTCTGCTCATGACCTAGGTTGGGAAAGAGGGCCAAGTTTGTCTGCTAGTATCAGTGGAAAACGGTGATGATAAAGGCCGTGGACTGAAGGTTCTAAAGGAGAGCAAACATGTACACTTCAAACTCGCTGGCTGACTCTTTGGAGACAGACACTGGCTTGGAATTTGAGGGCCACCAAGATAACCCCCAAATCACTTTTTTACCAACAAGAAAAGCAATGTAGTATGAAGAGAGGATAGTGGTTGTCTCTCCCCCAGGTAAAACACAGGCAATAAAAACAGTAAAGTTCCTACCAGCCAGACACAACTAATAATATATATTCCAGGTAAGTGGCCATTTGTAAATCTGTCCTAGATCAAAGATTGTAGAGAACAGTTTTCAAAAATGGAAAGAATATTTTCTCATTTTTTGGATGCCATTCACAATGTAAAAACTATAGATGTGACATACTTTTAAGTTTAATTTGCATTATCAACATTTTTTTCCATCACATTCTTCTTCTTTTTTTTTTTTTTTTTCGGCCCGCGGGGCTCTCACTGTTGTGGCCTCTCCCGTTGCGGAGCACAGGCTCCGGATGCGCAGGCTCAGCGGCCATGGCTCACGGGCCCAGCTGTTCCGTGGCATGCGGGATCTTCCTGGACAGGGGCACGAACCCGTGTCCCCTGCATCGGCAGGCGGACTCTCAACCACTGTGCCACCAGGGAAGGGAAGCCCTCCATCACATTCTTAAGTCTAGACTCTAGACAACCAACAAAGCAGTAGATCAAGCCCTGATTTGCAGCATTTGCGAATTTCTATGGTGTAAATGCACCTACCATGGCCAATTTCAAGCTTCCAACATAATACCACTGAAAAATAGAGTTGCAAAGTGATGGGCAACAGCACACCATTCTAGAGTGTTTCCACCATACAGATACAATAGATGTAAAGACTCTCAAGAGCAAAGATAATAGCAAAGTGCAGCAAAATAATTAGGAAGTGATGAGTTTTAAGAATTTACTAACTTTGTGTTTAATATAATTGTTAAGCCTGAGTTTATATAGTTTAATTTTTAACAGTGGATGTGCTTAACAACTGGCTCACAAAATTCCTGAAAATTGAACAATCAGCTCTCAAGAACCAGTAGGGGCCAGATCCAGCACACGCCAGGTTCCATTCATTCCTGAGACCTAGCTATATTTCCATCCTGATTTCAGGAGCTGACAAATGCCCTCATCTGTCCAATCTGTATAGATCAAGTTGCTTTCCGGTCACCGGCAACCCAAAGAATCTTGGCTTATTAAAGAGATCCCTGCCAGCTAGAGTGGGCTGCTTCGTCAAGGTTCAAGCTACTACCTCTGAGGACTAATATTCCAGCCTACCTAGATGCTGCTGCTTTTTTTTTTTTAAACTGGGCTTCCCACCTCGTTAAATAGAATTTTCCGCTATGGAAAATCTGGCCATGCCATGCAATGGTCCCTTTAAATGTCCGCCCCAGATGAAGAATGTTTAATCAGCTGAGCGGAGCCTGCCCCTCCCCACAGGAGCTCTGGAGGATGTTCACAGCTCACAGCCGCTCCTGCCCCTTCCCAGGAGCCCCAGCGTCACTATGTGAAACCACAGAGGGTGGAGCCCAGGCTTTTCCCTGGAGAGGAAGTGGCTGCCGGAATGCCAGATGTGCCATTCCCACAGCAGCTGCTGGAGGGCCCGGCTCTCCCAGGGTGAGTAGCAGCCTCCGCAGCGACCAAGCCCTGGAAGTCTGCAAAGTTTCCACAGGCTAGGGAGAACCCAAGCTGCGCAGGGCCCCAGGCAACACAGGGTGAGAAATAGAACGTTATTCAAGGCTGAATGCTCCCACGCACCTCGCTTGTTTCCTTCCACCAGTGTCTGGAAAACCTGTTTAAAGAGTTATTCCAAGTGTTTTTTCAAGCCTCTAATCTGCCTTCAAAAATATCCTCGAAGAGGAAACAAAGATTGTTTGCTAGCAGTCAACGAGGGTGGAAACAGCCAGGAAAAGTCTTCCCAGCACACCTAGGTGAAAGCCACAAATTAGGGCTGGGGAGGGCTTGGGCAGAAACCAGCCCGGTGGATCAGTTTGCAGAGCTCTGTGTGTCCTGCAGTTTTTTTTCAAAAGGGGCAGCTGAAGTCCACAGCTCTTTGTGAAATCTGGGGGAGGGAAGATGAGGGCAGAGGGGAAATGAGGGGAGCAAGGGTGGAGATGCTATAGATGATTGGACGTGGGGAGAGGGCTGGATGTGGGGAAGCAGTAGGAAAATCAAGTGTGCAGTTCATCTGAAATCTTGTTTAATGTACATTTTCTCAGGGGGGTTGAGCTGAACCCTTCAACTGTGCATCTGAAGTTGATTAAAAACCTGAAATTTTCTGTAATTGGACCTCATTAATAAATTCCTCAGGGTTCCAGTAGGCTCTGAAGAGGTAGAACAAGGGTCTGGAGAGAAGAGAGCAACAGGAGGTTGTAAGATCCCAGGCTGTGGAGTTAATTCCATTTAATCAGCTTGGAGAAAGTCCTCATTTACAACCCCCAGGACCCACGGAGGCCTCCCGCCCTCTTCAGCAGGGCAAGATTTTCTCTCATTTGCTTCTCCCTTCTTTTTAACGCCCCTATTTCCAATCTGGGTAACTAGCTGCCCCATACGTTCTGCAAGCCAACTGTTAGGAAGTAATGCCTCTCTTCTCTTTAGGACCCTCGCTGTTTCTTTTGCAGGTGCGATTTCAGCATCAGAGCTAGGAAGGCTGCCACCTCCCAGCCTCCTCTGTTTATTTTCCACCCACCCCTGCCCACCACCACCCTGCCCTGCCCCACCCTTCTCCTCCCCTCCCACATCTATTCCCACCTCCATCCTCAGTTGTTAGCTTGACCCCCAAATTCACACAGTCCCAAACCTCGAATTGAGATATTAGCATTTGCTTGTTGCCACACCAAATCCTGCGTGCTTAGTAAGTGGCAAACCTGCTTGGTTTGTAATGTACCTTCTCTTTTTCCTCTGGTAGAAGTGAGCCTGAGATGCAACATGTTAAAGCGTCAGATACCTGGGGGAAAAAACAGAAGCAAAGGGTGATGCCCAAGCTGGGAAATCAACTTCTGAATAGGAAAGGACAAAGGTCAAATGCAGGATTTTGCCAGGGCTCCAAATAGTTCATTCTCATAGCATCTATACCTTGTAAATGTTCCTTCCTTTTCTGGGCATTTTAGTGAGAAGTGTCATGCAGTAAAACCAGTGTGGAAGAGGCATAGAAATATCAACCTCCATTCCCAAGGATCGTCAGCTTCCATCCCCAAGGACCCCTCTATGATATTCTGTATGTCTCCAGGCTGTGCTTGAGCTGCAGAGAACGGGGGCTAGAGACGGAGGGAGCAGAGAGGAAGGGTCAACTTATCAGAGGCAGTGGAACCTAAGGAGGTGGTCAGCCCACTCCTGCAATTAACCTCCTTACTGCACCCTACCCACTCACACCCCAAATTCAAACTTGGAAGCATGAGAGCAGGCTGTCTCCTTCACTTCCGACTTAGCTTCTATTCACCTATTCCCTTGCCAGGCTGCATCTGGGCATGTTCCTTCCTCTCAACTTTTCACCATCCCTTACTATAACATCTCCTCACCCCCACCCCAATGCAGGACAAAAAAAGTGTTTTGCACTGCTCTTTTTTATGATTTTAGAGAAGTCTCAGGTGACGCAATGTTGCCATCATAGTGAAGTGATGGCTGAGCTGTAGCTCTCCCTCTCCTTGAAGGCCTCCTTGGTGTTCTTCCTCCCATCGTGGGGTGTTATATTCAGGCCATCATAACAGAAAAGGCTGATGAATGTGCCCATAAAATAAATTAAATAAAACAATGCACTTTCATATGGCAAATATGGTGTGCATCATAAACAAAGTCAAAAGACAGATTAAAAACTGGAGAAAAGTCCTCGCACATATCTGACTGACAAAAGTCTGGCTTCTTAATAAACAAAGAGTCTTTATAAGTCAGTAAGACAAAAGGGCAAAGAAAATTAACTGTCTGCTCATAAAAAATAAATAGAGATAAAATAAGTGGACAAGATCACTCAACATTTAAAAGATAAAAATCAAAACAAGTCACTGCTTTTCCCTATCAGATTGGAAAACACTAAAGGTTTAGTCGTCCCCAGTGTTGGTAAGGATGGGTGAAACAGGCAGTTCCATACTGTTAGTATAGGACTATTCAGTAAAAATAGCTTTATATATGTAAATTTGGCTGCATCTAGCAAAATTTTTTAAATGTGCATACACTTTGACCCAGAAATTGTACTGTGAAAGATGTAATCTATAGATATAAAGTACACAAAGATACATGTACAAAGATGGAAACTTTGTCAGTGAAACTTTATCTGCAATTATAAACAAAAAAGAATGTGCATATATAGGCTATTACATTGATTTTTTAAATTCTGAGAGGACATTAAAGACACTGGTAAGTGTAGATGTCTTAGTTTGCTTGGGCTGCTATAACCAAATACTACAGACTGGGTGGCTTATAGACAACAGAAATTTATAGCTCACAGTTCTAGAGGCTGGAAGTCTAAGATCAAGGCACCAGCATGGATCCTTTCTGGTGAGAGTCGCCTTCCTGCTTCATAGCTGGCACCTTCTTTCTGTGTCCTCACAGCAAGGGGAAGGGGTAGAGGTCTCTCTTTTATAAGGGCTCTGCCCTCATGACCTAAGCAACTTTCAAAGCCTACCTCCTAATACCATCACCTTTGGGCGTTAGGATTTCAACATGTGAATTTGGAGGGGACACAGATATTCGGTAGGATTGGGGGTGAGGAAAGAGAGAGGCTTTTATTTTTTGTCTAAAATTTTCTCTTAATTTTTCACCAAGTGTATTTTTTAAAAAACATTCATTTAAAAATCAATAAATAAACAAACTAAACTCTGGCTATACCTCCTATGCTGGTTGCTAACACTTTTCTGGTGCCCAAGAATTCCCCAAGACAAACACAAGGTTCACCTAACCAGTCCCAATTGGCCAATCCTTCAAACTGAGTAAAGCCTTCGATATAGAGATATATCAATATAGAAGAAAGCTCCATAACAGAATAGTTGACAAAAAACAAAAATTCAATCTTTTGAGAGTCCCTTTCCCAGTGACTCATTCAAAAAGAGTTGAGAAAGGCTGGGTTGCAGGGCAATAAAGTGGGATTTTGGAATAAGTAGCCACTAGCTCCACCCTGCTTCCTTGAGGTGGAGGCTGGTCTGGGTGGGGCTGGGAGCAGGGCAGCAGGGAGGCTGGTGGGCACAGGCACACACCGATCTGACACCAACGGGCCTCTCTCTCTGGGCCGTACCCACTGTGGGAAAGAGACGAGGAGGCTTAGAATCCTGCTCCAGGGTATGATTCCAACTATATGATATTGTGGAAAAGGCAAAACTATGGAGACAGTAAAAAGATAAGTGGGTGCTAGGGGTTGGAAGTGGGGGTAGGGATGCATAGGTGGAGCACAGAGGATTTTTAGGGCGGTGAAACTACTCTGTATGATACTGTCATGGTGGATACGTGTCCTTATACATTTGTACAAACCCACAGAATCTACAACACCAGGAGTGAACTTAATGTAAACTATGGACTCTGGGTGACTATGATGTATCAATGGAGGTTCATCTGCTGTAACAAATGTACCACTCTGGTGAGGGATGTTGATAATGGGGGGGGTGCTATGCAGATATGGGGGGGCAGAGGATATATAAGAAATCTCTGTACCTTCCTCTCAAAAAACAAACAAAAATGTTTGATGAGATAACAGATAATGCTAAAGGTATGCTTGTTAGATGCTAAGTAAAAGCAAATCCTGCCCTAGGCTTTGCTCCTGCGACCCCCGGGAGGAAGGAGAGTGCTGTGCACGCATCTCTCACCTGGGACACTTTTCACCCTCAACTGGACTCCTCAGGACTTGGCCAGGTTCCGCCTGGAATTTCACTCTTAAACATCTGGAGATGGGGTAGGGCTTTCATTTTCTACTCCACATATATTTATAACTTGGAATTCTACGAGAATACCTTCATGCACTGCTTCTTTAAAAACAAAATAAAATAAATAGAATTTTGCAATATCATATTAGTTAAGCCTCTGACTTCAATTATAAACCAGATGTCTGCTCAAGCCTTTCTACTCTCTTGAATTTGTTAACCTTGGCCTAAGCCTTCCTCCCGAGACTTGAGATACGTGCATCCCCTCCCCACAAGCGTCCTGACTTCGTGCCTCGTTCTCCTCTTTGCCTGTGCCCCACCGCCTCCCTGTGCAATGTCTCAATGGAGCTCCACACCAGGATGTTCTCAGACCCCACCCCCATCTTTGGTCTCATGATAAACCCAGGCATTTCACGAGGTTAGTAACTCTCTGGGGTGATGAGAAGGCATAGCTCATGAAAATGGCTCTCCACCATTTTCAGCCCCTGGGGGAGTGGAGTCCACATTCTCTTACTGCCTGCCTTTCTTAGCCCCTCTTAGGATCTCTGATGAATCCATTTCTTTCCATCTGAACAGAAACTAACTCCAGCTAGCTTAAACCAAAAGGAGAAGTCTGTCATGAGGGTACAGGGGGTCTCAGGAAATTCAGATGGACTATAAGAAGAACTGGAGGGACTTTGCTGGTGACGCAGTGGTTAAGACTCCCCAATCCCAATGCAGGGGGCCTGGGTTCAATCCCTGGTCAGGGAACTAGATCCCACATGCATGCTGCAACTAAGAGTTCACATGCCACAACTAAGGAGCCCACGAGCCGCAACTAAGGAGCCCACCTGCCACAACTAAAGACCCAGCGCAACTAACTAACTAACTAAATAAAGAACGAACTGGAAAGTCTGGGCAGGACTGTCTCTGTATCTCCTCTTTGCTTATATATCTGCATTCCTCTCTCTCTGCAATCCGTTTTCTCTGCTTCTCCATCTGCATGGGGGGATGTGGCTGCACCTTAGTAACCAAGTGTCTAGTTACGTAGAAAGACAAACTGGCTGTCTCAGAACCCCAATCCCACATTCCTGGGAAGGAGTGTCAGTTTGGCCCTTGTCTAATTATCTCCAGCCAGAAGAAAGAGGGTCTTATAGCAGCAGGTCACATGAAAGGAGAATTGTTCGTGGCTAGGCACCCTTGGGTGTATTGCAGTCTTATAGAACAGACAAATAATATTCCTCCTAGGATTTGAGATTTGGCCATATTTTCAAAAAGGGCATTTGTTCTGTTTTGTTTTATTTTTACTGAAGTGAAACAAAGCACAGACTTTAAGATCAGACCCAATTGCTTTTGAGTCTTTGCTTAGTCACTTAATAACTGGACAATGTTGAGAAAGTCACTTAACTTCTCTAGTCCTTAACGTCCTTGACTATGAAATGAAAATGATACCCATTCAGAGGGTGGTTGTGAGTAGAAGATGATATCATTTATCTGAAGCACCCACTTCACAGCAGGTTCTCAGTAAATGTTGATTCTCTTCTTCCTTTATTTAGGCTCTTGATGGAGTGAGAGTAATCTTTCTACAGCATCATCTGGCCATGTCACTCCCTTGCTTAAAGCCTTTCTGTGGCTCCACATACCCTCAATAAAGTCCTGTCTCCTCAAGATAATATAAAAAGCCCTTAAAGATCTGTTCTCCACACTAATCACTCCCCATCACACCTATGCCCAGCCATACTTGCAGTTCCCAGCGCCCATCGTGCTCTCTCCTTCCCTGTTCCTCTTCACATCCATACTCCCAACCTTGCCTGCCTAATGTCTATTCCTTCTTGGGGACTTTTTCCTGGGGAAAATCTTCCTTGACCATCACTTCTACCCACAAGACTATACTAAGAGTCCCTCTCATATGCTCCTAAACAGGAACTTTCCTCAGCTTCCCTGGTAACCAGCCTGCCCAGCTTTAATGGTTTTAGGGACTTTGCATTGGAAGGTAGAGCATTCCACTACTAATTTCTAGAAGGTTCTACCACTCTCATCCTAACCAACAATAAAGCTGAAAATGTCTCCCCAGAACTTCCACCCAGCATTCTTAGCTTTCACCCTGGAACAACCTTCAAATTAC